ACAGAAAGTAAGCATGACCCCAGGTTAGCATATCCTGTATCTCTGATGTGATAAGTGAATAAAGACAATTGAAAACTCTCAATGATATTTCTGCCAACTCACCCCACAAATTTCACACCCCAGACCTGTTTGAGCCTGACTAGAAGCCAGAGAGCATAAGTGTCTGCAAATAGCACTGCCTTTCAGAAAAAAAATCAATGCTAGCATTTCTGTGTATGTACAGGAAGAAAATGTCCAGCATCAGTGACTCTGGTCCACTTTAGACTGTGAAAAATCCTATGTTGAAACCATGATCACCTAGAATATCAGAGAAACACGGTGTGAATATTTTCCCTGGAGCAGGGGCAAGAAGAGGAAACTGAGCCTGGAAATTCTATTTGTAGCCCAATGTTTCGCCCAGGCTTCATTTGTCCGAGAGTAATAGCCTCAGTATCTACAGAAACAGAAGAATTGGAAGTAAAGCGTCACTCAATAAGGCAGCCTGATATTCCCTCAAACTTGCCATGATAACCAAAGACTATCATAACCATAGCAACATCTACTATTGTCAGAATTCTTCTGGATTGGAAATAGGCTAGGGTGGAACTCCAAGGATCTAAGAAAAGACAATGTTAGCATAACACCTCATAAATGTTTTACAGAATAGATGAAATCTGTCTTGTTGTGGGGTGTTTATTATAGATGACCATTCAGACATGGGTTTAAACCAAAAAATTGTCTTTATTAGCTGGCTGGAGGCTATTCTGGGTATTTGGGATTCCAATGCAGTCCCAAGCCTTTCTCAGAGTTTTAAGCATGAACCCGCATCCAGGGTTAACACACTTAGTTAACAATTAGCCAGAAGTGGAACCACAGAAGCAGAAAAGAATGGTTTGTACATTTAAGGACTTTCCTAGTTAAATCAGACATTTGTTTTGGTATGAAATTTGTTGTGCTGCCTGTGTGCTAAGTTTTGTGCCCAGAATGGTACTTCCATTACAGTGTCAGTAGTGTTAAAGTTACAGTGCTAAAATACATATGGAAGGAGAACACTTTAAGGACTTGGTGAATCAAATATAAGTTATAGAAATGTTGGCTGTAATTATTTAAATGTTCAGTAAAAATCTAGCTGTGATGCTCAAATGAGAAATGGATTTTTTCCATATTATTGAAAAGTACATACATGAAGCAGGAGTTTTTAGGCATTGTTTTTTTCAGCCAAATTTTAAAGTAAGTTTGAGATAGTATCTGAGATTTTTTTGTTTGTGTGGTGTTTATGCCTGTGTGTATGTGTGTACATTGTATGTATATGGTGTATTGTGTATGGTGTATGTGCAATTGTGTGTGTGTGTGTGAGAGAGAGAGAGAGTGTGTGTTATAGTGTGTGTCTGTGTGTATGTGTCTGTATGCATGTGTATGAGAGAGAGTGAGACACACACACACAGAGAAAGAATGAGAGAGAGAATGTGTTTATGTGTGCAAATATGAATGTGTTTCTTCATCTTCAAGGGAAGATGACAGGTATCCTACTATTGCATGCTATTCTTTACTTATATGCAAATGTCTCTCATTGAAATTGAAGCTATGATGATGGGCAGAAAGCCTTGGCATATCCCCTGTCTTCATCCCTCCCCCAGAGTGGCCATGCCTGTCTTTTACCTTGTTGCAGTTAATCTTTGCATTCAAGTCCTCATTATTTTGTGGCAAGCACTCCAACCTACTGAGCTATTTCTTCAGTCTAGTTTCTGAGATTTCTTAGGGACATAAAAGTGTTATTACCTCAACCATATGAGTTATTAGAAGAAAGATGACTACAATGACAAAACGTTGAGAGGAAGGACATTGGAAGCATGCTAAGGTGTCGTTATGATAGGGAAGTCACCAAGAAGGCCCAGTAGATTAAGACTCTTGCCTGTATGTTTGATGTTCAGAGCCATATCCCAGAAGCCACACAGTGGAAGAAGAGAATTCACATGTTATGTATTTTTTTTATCAGCAGCCTATGCAAGTGATGAGTGTACACTGTAAACCTGAGGACTATTTTGTAATATAAAACTATGAGATAATAAGCCAGAAATGGAAAGTAATATATCCTCATTTAATTAAAAATATGCAAGGAGACTCTCCCCTTCCCCCACAAAATAACACGTAAGAAAATAGAAAACAGCAAATTGGCATACATAAGTATAAACATATTAATACAAATATAAAATGTAGATAGTTTAAGAGGTCCAATTAAAATATTAACTTTTAGCCATGTGGTTGTGGTACATGTTTTTAATACCAGAACTGGCAGAAGAGGCAGGAAGATCTTTGTGAGTTCAAGGCCAGCCTCGCCTACAAGGGCTAGTTCCAGGACAGGCTCTCAAGCTACAGAGAAACCCTGTCTCAAAAAATCAACCAACCAACTAACCAAATGAAAAAACTTCTTGAAATGTATTATAGAAAAATGATCCAGACTATTTTATGCACAATCTACAAAAAAACCCCACTTTATATCAGGTTAAAGTAAATATAAAACAAATACATTACACAAATATAGCAAATAAAAAAGTAAAGTGATGCAACTGCAGGTAAAGCCTATAAAGGATTATGATTGATAAATGTGAAAACCACAACCAATTCCATCATGTTGAGGAATTAATAAGTGCATTTGTCATCCCTTATCATAAATGCAGAGTTGAAACAATGCAAGCTCATTTCTCAGCAGTTCTGCACTGAGAAGTCTGACCCAAGTGTCTCTAAAGTCCAGTGTTGGGTGGACTCTCTTGCTCTTTGAAATTCTCTTCCAGGAGAATGTGTGTGTGTGTGCATGTGGTATCCATTTTTGTGCTCCTGGTCCTTGATTTCTTTCTTGTTTGAGGCAGTCTCTTATTGTTTGCACTGCATATGCAAGGCTAACTGGCCCACAAGTCTCCAGGCATTCTCTTGTCTCTGCCTGCCCTCCCCCCACTACTGTGGCACTGGGTTACAGAAATGCAGTACCATATCTGGCTTTTCTTGGTATGATGGCTATTCTTCGTTGTCTATGTGACCATATCTGGAATTAACTAAAACCCAAGCATCTAGGTCCACCTGTGAGAGATATTTTTGTAATTAAAACATTTGAAGTTGGAAGGCCCACACTAAATCTGGATCTCTTGAGGTGGGAAGATCCACCTTTATCCTGGACCACACCTTCTGCTAACGGCCTATATAAAGTACATGGAAGAAGGAAGTTCTTGCTCTTTATTTGGCTGTTCTCACTCTCAATGGCCAGTTCATCCCTTCACTGGCATTAGAGCCTAGTTCCCTAGTTCTTCGTTTTCCAGCCTATACTGAAGATCAGCTAAGGCTTCCAGCCTCATGGACTGAACAATTACTGGATTCCTGGTCTTTCCATTGGTAAACAGTCATTGTTGAATAGGTTGGGTCAAAATTTTAAACCACCCCAATACGTGTCCTAATCTGTATTGGTCTGTCCATCTGCCTGTCTGTCTATCTATCTATCATCTATCTATCTATCTATCTATCTATCTATCTATCTATCTATCCATCTTTCTCTCTCTCTCTCTCTCTCTCTCTCTCTCTCTCTCTCTCTCTCAATCTAATCAATTCTGTTCCTCTAGAGAACCAGAACAAATACAGTAGGGATCAGGTCCTCATACATGTAGAACAAGTATTTTACCCAAGAACTTCTCTAGCCCTACAGAATTTTTACAAAGATATCTACCTCATTTATGAACTTCTCATTTTTATACAATGAATTATGCTAATACTTTTACTTTAATAATGCTATATATCCACTTTATCCTTAGTAACTTTCTTTAGAATTATTCCTTCTTTTTCTGGCATTTCCTCAGCTTTCTTTGCAGTGTCCACTGACAGAAGATTTTGTGTTATCTTTGTGGCATCAATTTGCCTTTCATTCTTATACATCTTTATCCTCTTTGGTACATCTGACGTGTCAGTGTCTTATCAATGGGGTAAGAGAATTAATCTGGAAAATATTCCCCTGAAGAAGTTGGGCATTATGTTAGAGGCTGCATAGGCTTTGGTTCTGTTTAGATTACAATGGTGTCTCTACAAAATATAACTGATGACTGTGAGAACCTGATCTGTAGCAGGTCACACAGAATGAGGGCATTCTAAAAGCCAAAGAGGTACATATAATTTGTTGTACTGTGATAGAGCCACTCAAGTGGCCTTTGAGCGTGAATCATACATGAAAGTTGGGGTGAGGAATGGTTAGATTTGGTCTTACAATGCACCATGCACCAATAGCTTACATAGGGAAGAGAGCTATGTACATAGAGGTACCCATGGGGAACAGTGCAATAGTGTGTATTCTATTGCAACTCTTTGTGGAAATCAAAACCGTTGATGGCTGCAGTATTGCCTTTCAGCAGAATCCATGACTCAGTGGTGCTATTATGGAAAATCTAGGGTCTACTATGTACAATTTCCGAATTGTAAGAGGACTTGCCACATTCAAATAAGCCCAGGCTGGGAATCAAGAGCACTCTATGCAAGGTGCTTTGTTCCGTTTTCTACCTGACCTCCTGGAGCCTCCATTTTCCATAATTCTCTTCAAAGTACACTATATTACAGCAATTTACAAATATTCTCAGCAACCACCATCTGTTTCTTTTTTTGGTTTTATTTCTTAAGTGGATAAGGGGTTGTCTAGTGTTTCTCATGGGCCATCTTTTTGCAAGTCTGCATCTCAGTTTATGGTAAAAATATGTTGTAGTATTTGGTGTAGGTGTCTGGCATAGCTTCTATTTAAGAAAGCAACAGAACCACCAGCATAATTTGCATAACCTGTTATAGACTGATTATTTTGCCCCTGAATCATACATTTAGTAGCCCAAGCCCTCAGTGGGTTCATGCTAGGAAGAAAGGCTTTGGGAGGCATCTATATGTAGACTAGGTCATGAACATGAAGCACAACAATAGGGTCACAAGAAGAAGCAAGAAGGGAACCATTTTCTGGATAGACGCACCATAGGAGGCCATGTGAGGTCTTACCAGGAAGAATGCTTTTACTGGGGGTCTGGCCACACAGGCACCTGAATCTCAGACATAAGTCAATGGAAGTGTGAGAACAAAATCCCAATGTTTAATCCACCTAGTCTATAGGAATATAGCTGCTTTAAAAAACTGTTCCTCACCATAAATAATTTTTCTCTTTCCTCTGTGTCTCTCCTTCAGTCTTACTAACAGATGTACTGTTTATCTACATTTTATTTCAAGGATGACCAAATGTATGCCAGGGAGTTTGAAATGAGATAACAAGCCAACAATAGAAATGCATTAGTAATAGAGTATTACCAATCATAGTAATAGACAGTCACTGTGAAGTTACTATGGGTTCTTGGGAATATCAAGTAACAGTTAATGTCTTTTTTTTTAAAGAAAGAGTTTATTAAATAGCTTTTGGTATTGATATGGAGTAAATCAGTCATTTAGTAACTACAACATTCAAAAGCCTATGAATATAAAGTAGGGAAATCCCTTCATCTTCACTGGTTCTGGTACAGAATTAGAGAGCTTCTTTAGTATTTTCTCAAGGATTCTGACTAAATACGATTTTTAGAATTTCTGTTATTATTAAGACTTTTATGATCTGTATGGTTATTGCTTCTTTCTCTCTTGCCCTCTTGTTCAAACATATATCTCTTACATTTTTCTTTAATTATATGTATGAATATTTGTCTTGCAAGCATATCTATTAAGCACATGTGTTCCTGGTCCAATGGCTGTCAGGGAGGATATCAGATCCCCTGGAACAGGAATTACCGGCTACTGTGTGCTAATATGTGCGTTCCATTTGTACTGAACCCAGGTGCTCTGCAAGAGCAGCAAAGATTCTTAACCTCTGAGCCATCTTTCCACATCACCATTTACCCTGTTTCTGGAGTGCTAGGGATTTAACCTGAGGTCACATGCATGTGCATATTATACCACTGAGTTACCACCCCACACTTTCCTCCTTACTTTTAAGGAAAATCTTTTTGTGTGAGTGCATTTGCATGTGTGATTACCATGACATGGCATGTATGCAGAGCTCACTGGATTCTGGTTTTTACCTTCCATTTGCTTGTGTCAGGGTCTCCTTTTTAATAGCTGCATGTGGCAGGTTAGTTGGCCCCACAGTTTCCAGGATTCTCTGCCTCTGCCTCCTGTCTCTCCACAGGAGTGTATGGATTTCAGGTGCATAGATGGCTTTATGTGGGCTCTGTGGGTCTGAACTCATGTCTACAGACTTGCAAGACAATTGATCCATCTCTCCAGCCCAGTTATGGCTTTTCCTGTGGTATTACTATGAAGAGAGGACATAGGTGTGAAACTCAAGGTTATAGAGGAGTTGCAGCAGCAGCTGGGGGCAGCTAGTCCCCCTCCACCCACAGTAAGAAAGCAGAGAGCAATGCATGAGTGCAGGTGTTCTATGTTAGCCTCCCTTTCCATATACACAGTCAGGGATCAGCAGCGAGGGAACGGGGCCACCCACAGTGGGCAGCGCTTCTCACCTCAATTAACTTAGGCAAAATCTTTTGCAAAAGCAAGGTCAGAGGTTTACCTCTCATGTGATTCTAGAGTCTGTCAATTAAACCACCCATCACAAAGTTAAACCTAAAAGCAGGTGTTGATTGATATGAAATAAATTTGTATAAAAGTACAATTACTCGTTCTGTGGCTTACAGTCAGGGATCAGTAGCTAGGGAATGGGGCCACCCACAGTGGGCAGTGCTTCCCACCTCAATTAATGTAAGCAAATAGTTTCCCAAATACAAGTCCATAGGTTCATCTCCCATGTGATTCTAGAGTCTGCCGATCAAACCACCCATCACAATGTTAAACCTAAAAGTGGATGTTGACTTATATGAAATAAAGTTGTATAAAAGTGCAATGACTAGATCTGAGGGTTTATTCAAAGCGAGTAGATAGTTTTAACACTAGATTATTTACACACATCTGATCCCCTTGCTACAGCTAATGTGGATATATGATCACTAAGTATGGATAAATCCTGTATGGTCCGAAGAACCCAGTATGTTATTTTGCAATATCAGTGTCCAATTTTTCTGTCATTGATTCTGATTTTTGACAGCTACAAGATTTCAGCCTAATCAGAAACCAAGTTATTTTTTACACATATCTCTCTGAGAAGAGCATTAGCATCATCTGTCACTATATCAAGGAAATAATATTTTAGGTAAAACAATTTTTGAACATAAACATTCTTAGCAAATACATCCCTTTTAGCCAAATGGAACTCTTCATAAAGTCTTGAAAGTCTTTCTTGTATTGTTTCTTCCTTTGTAGTTTCAAACACATGAGGAGATTTCATCTTTGCCTTGAGCTGATCCACCGACACTTGCCAGTCCTTAGCCAAACTCTGCAAGGATGCATCATCCACTCCAAAGACAGCTCGATAGAGGTTCATGCTGTACCTAAGATTCTCCACATCATTGCCCGTTAAGACGATCAGTGAAGGGACCATATTGAGTAGGGCAGTCGCTAATGCTGTGAGCCAAATGCTCTGCTCCAGAAACTGCCGCTTTCTTTCAATGGCCGCATCTGTAATACTTGGCAAGGAGAGCATAAAATTGTGACGTTTGTATACAGGGAGAGTATTCACCACCTGGTCCATCAGTATTTGGAAATCATAGTCAGATGAGATTTTATTAGAGATCAAGAAGATGGGCGGTTTCTCAATGTTATGCTCCTGAAAGGTCCTCGCACAACTGCTGCGGATCTGCTGCAGGACCTTTTCTTTGTCAAAGGTTTGTGGTTTGAATTCCTTCTCATTTTTCAAGTCAGAATCCACCTTGGTTCTCACAAAGTAGAAATCCTTCTTCATCCTGCGGATTGCTTTGGCAAGGTCTATATCATTTTTCATAAAGCGTGTGGCAGAAAGAATGATGAAGAAATCATACTCGTTTAATTTCATTTTCTTCAGATAATCTTTGGGTGGGAAATTTGTGGTTCCAATCCCAGGCAGGTCCCAAAAAACCACATTGGGAATCTTGGGGTGTGTGTAGGGATGCCTCTCCATGGTAGTTTCTACCACACCAGTTTCAGCTGCATCTATATCTTCATGCCCAACCCCCCTCAGGACATTGATGAAGCTGGACTTCCCTGCTCCAGACTCTCCTGTCACAGCAACATTGAGTGGGGTGCCATCAATTTCTTTTAATGCATTAGTGATAGAAGAGTTTGCCACCTGAATGTTTCCTTTTGACAAGTTTAACTCAATTGAAGCTAAGGTTTCTTGAGGAATGATTTTGTTTTCTACTTTAAACTTCTTAAAATATTCGTTAAAGCTGGAGGCCAATTCTTGGTGGCGCTCATCCTTAGGTGAAGAGAACCGCTGACCCATGACTGTGAGCAACTAATGCACTGAAGGAAAGAAGGAAGAGTCAGGAGGATGTTTATGAAATTTAAGATCTATATTTTATCAAATTTCATGTATATTGCCACATACCATTCTTGATGATTGCAGTACTACATCCGATCTCCCACTGTGTTCATTTTACACATCTGAGACTTTGTGTCCTTTGACTAACATCATCCTATTTCCCTCTCCCACAGCTTTGCCCATCACCCTGCCTTCCACCTCTACGAGTTTGGCTTCTCTAGAGTTCACCAATAAGTGACACAGTAGGGCCATTCTTTCTGCAGGATCTAAAACCATCACATGAGACTTTAATGTTTTAGTCTCCTTTGTGTCTTTGCAGATCCATCTTAACATTCAGTCTGCTCTGTGCCTCTGAGTCATTTAGAGTACATGACCAGAGACCCCTCACATTTTCCATTCCAGAATAAATCAGCTGTATTTTCATGGCCTCCCTGTTGGTTGGAATGACTGATTGCTTCTATTATTCATTATTATCTATGCTATTTGGCCTTTGTGAACTTTTCAGTCCTCATGGTATTTTTAAGAAAAATATTTTTTCTTATTTGTCTTCTTAGTTCTGGTAATGTTCCTCACACTTTCAAGCCTCTGGTTGTCACGCAGTCCCTTACTTATCTGCTCGGCATGTTTATTTTCTCAATTTGCACTTTTGCCAAAGTCTCTTATTTTTAAGATTTCTTCATGAACCTTTCTGATCTCTAATATATAACACTCTTCCAATAAAGAGTTGAATTGAAGGCCAATGGACAAGTTCTTTCCAAAGTGAACTGGGAGACTTTGCAAAATATAATGCATATTTATATGGGGTGTAGTGTTGGCCAGTCCAGTCACCATTGCCACACAGATTTGTCCTAGGACCAAATTCTTTAGAAGAGACTTGGCCTCCCTGAATAATTGAATAAGAAGCCAAGCCAGACAAAATCCTGTTAGGCACATCACCCATCCCAATGGATGCTTGGTCCACATAGATAGTACAAGCAGGGCACCTGCTGCATTACAAATGAACATGGACAACATATTTAGGAAACATGAGAAAGAGCAGCCAGGAGGCTGAGTTGATATAGATCACAGCAACTCCTGAAACTTGAATTTGCCAATCTGTATTAGCTCTTGTGTTATTTTTATAAGCTTGACATCATAGATGGCCCTGTGGGATAGGGTGATCTGGCAGCACTAGGTCAGTTACTGTAGGAACAACAGGTGTAGATGGACATGTATAACTCAGTCCTACAGCATTGAGATCTCCTGGTAGATTTTTATGCATCATTCCCTACTTCGCAGAGTCTGGGAAACCAGATCACAGAGGCCATGAGCAAAGAGGGCTATCAAACTTCAGGTACCATTAGACTCTCTCTATTCCTTGGATTCTTGTAAACTCTGGACACAAGAATCTATCATGAGATTGAAAACAGGTAAAGCTACTGGCCTTCCTATAGAAATATTTGGGTACTCTGAATGCTATATAGCCATGTGAGATTAGCCTCCATGTGTGGATGCTCAGGTAGGACAAGAACATGTATCAATCTGTTATTGACTAAGCAGGGCAGGTACCTTCTTGGTCAGATTTCTTCCCATATTCAGTTCCTTCAAACTATCCTTTTCTTTATTGTCAGCTAAGATGATATTGTGAAACCTGGCAATTCTGAGAGGGATTTTTGTCCATCCCTTTAAAATGAGCATGCTCAGGGAATGTAATTCTAAATGGGCTTTCTTAAAAGCTGGTCTACCCCTATATATGGGCCACATGAATAAAATTGCTATGCTTTTTTTTTGCTAGGCATTGAGTTAAAGCATCACTTTGGAAATAGCTCCATGCCTGCTGTGCCTAACTTAGGTAATAAGTATTTTTCCAATGTGTTATATTTTGCCTGTTTATTTTGGTGTAACCTCACTATTATATGGATTAAATGCAATGAATTTCTATTGTTGGTTAATCTAAAGTGGCCTGTATCAGTACAGACCCTTCTCCACTGCCAGAGATAAAGCCGGGAAGGTAGACATCTCAGGGTCCCGGATTCCAACTCTTGTATAGCCCGATGGTTCTGAGAAAGCTTTGTGGCCTTTCTGATTCTTCAGATGTTTTTTCCATCCGGCCAGTGTTGGAGGACCCTTGAGTCAACTCTTCAAAATTTCTAGCTATCTGAAGTGTTAACCAGGGGCACCTTATTTTGTAAAGCAACCCTAGTTTTTGTTGGTGATCATTTCAGAAATGATAGTGGTTTGGTTTCCATACCTCACACCACTTTTATCCCTAGGTTCTTGCTCCACCGCGCATAGAGTTCTCGACTGCAAGCATGCACTGTAGGCTTCTCATCAATCACATGGCACAGACCCATAAGAAAAGATTCCCTGTTCTGCCACATGGGCCCGATCTCAGAACCTCTGCCTTGCTGTGTCATGCTGTTCTCTGCCTGTCTATCCATGGCATTCACAACCCTTTTAACAAATCTCCTACTCAAGCAACAGTCTTCCCCAGTGTGCTTCTAGAATCCCAGATTTTCCTAATAGTATAGAGATAGAGTTTCTCATCGTATAGACGTGCATCCCAGGGGGAAAGTTTGGGATCTGGGTTTTGTTTTACTGATTAGATAATTTGTACTTTCCATAGCTGTGTAGTCTCTAGTTTAAGGAATCTGTGTGTTCTGTTCTCTGTCCCTTTTTAGAGCAATGACTGTTGCATTGTGGGACATAGCTTCATTTATGGTAACAGTTCCTAGGGCAGGTTCTGACAAATTGGCCTGATTAAGCTTAGGACCCTATGAAAATCAATCATTTAACATCCCTCCCAGTTTGTCAGGGCAACAAATACCATTTCCATCTAAAAGTTGTTTATTTATAACATCTTGTCTCACAATATTTTAAAAAAGTAAAGCATCTTCCAAGAAGTAGGATACAAATATTTGAAAGGTTATACATATCCTGAAATATATCTTTTAGAAATGGTGAAGGAAATGAGTTTTAATTGGTTTTGTTTAAGTCAGAGGATGGCTGAATATCAAAAAAAATTATATGGGTATGACTGAGTAAACTTTAGTTAAAGGCTATTAAAATTCCTAAAGCCAAACCTCACTACACAGACACAAATCTAAAATTAATCTTATTTATATCAACAAAGTTCTCTTAAGATACTGATTTTCTTTGGGCAACATTTACAAAAGTAGACTTTAATTAAAATAACATTCATCAGAACCATAAGATAAAGGTTGTGATAAGTCACAAAACATTGTGTCCAATAGCAGTTCATGGCTAGTACATAATACATTTTTATACACATTTATGGGATTAGATGTTTCAATACCTAAACTGGTATGCACATTTTTTGTATAAATTTCTAAACTTTATGTTTCCTTAAGGCGGTAACTGTTCCTGTTTCCTGCTGAAGGCCTGACTGCTGGCAGTGCCAGGCCCTCAGACCCAGCACCACTAGAAGCACAGCAGAGCATGGTCCACAACAGCCACAGAGCCAGACCCTCTTCCCCACACTCAGAAAAGTGATGTCTCTACAGGGTGGTTGGGTGCTGCTCAGCTCCTGGCCTTCTGGCTAGGTGACTATTGCTAAAATGCCAGGGTCCCCTCTGGGTTTTGTTTACTTGTCTGTCAAGCTGGACAGACATCCAGCTTTAACTCTCAGGCAGCCTCACTAAACCTATTGGAGGCAGTGAGGGTTGAGGGTGGTGAAGTGGGAGATGGAAGGAATGTCAGATTTAAGGTATTCTAATATAGACTGAAATTAACTATTTGGTAAAAAATTTGGCCACTCATAAAAGCTGAGTGGACCCGGATGAAAATGAAAGTAGTTGCATCTATCAGGGCAATCATGATCCTGGATCCTCTGCATTTAGTCTGGGGGAAAGTTCCTAAGACAAAAGTTGCTGGGAACTTTTTACAAAAGCCTCCCATCCTTTTGGTCCCCATGCCTTGGTCTACTTATGTACACTCTAAAACTATCTCAGGCCAGCTAAATGATTGAGCAGGAAAGGGTACTTGTTTCTATGACAGATGATCTGAGTTTTAATCCTAAGACTCACATAGCAGACAGAACTGACTTTCACACCTTGTCTTTTGACCTCCACAAGCATACTCTAGCATGTGAGCACCTAGACCTGGTGTATGAGGACACAGAGAATGAATACATAAATATTATAAAAACAAATATAATGCATTATACAAAATTCACAAAAAGCTACTGAAGAAGAAAAAGAAAATAAACAAGAAAAATTTGCATTAAATGTCTTGCACAGAACATGACCACAACAAAAGACAGTGCCGTGAAATATTAATTAGGACAAAAGGATGCATTTCTTCACTAACACACCAACTTCACAATCAAAACCAAGAAGTTAAAGAGGATTCCCTCATTAAAAATGTCCCTCAGCATCTACTGCTGCTGTTTTTCTAAATGGGAAGATTTCCTTCTAAATATTTTGACTATACCAGAGATTAGTGATGCTCTCGGCCTTGCACAGACAAGCGTTTTGTTGTTTTTGCTCATTTCCCATTTTTTGCATTGAGTAGTATTTTAATGCACAGTCTCCTAACTGGTCAAACCTGGTGAGAATATGTAATGGTTGAGTGTTCATTCTTAGATAAAACAGTGACATCTTTATCAATCTCCCACCCTCACCAAGTTCAGAAAACATCGCAGAAGAGCCAGAGGCTGGAGATGGGGAGAGTGACATAAAATAATATCTTCTAAATATGACATGGCCTCTGGGGTTACCTACAGGAGACACACATAAGATTTATCTTGTTCTCATTTCAGTATGAATGAGATCAGGGGCACATGAAGCCTTATCCTTATGTTAGGATTAGAGATTTGTAGGGGGAGAGAGAGTCATTTTTCTTCAGATATAGACCACTAGAAAGTAGCAAATGATCAAGTAAATAACCTTACAACAGAACAAGGAAATGATCCTGATTAAAATCAGTGGAGTATTAAAAAAAAAGACAAGAAAACATAGGGAGAATAATGGATAGAGGAAAGATCCAAGAGAGAATAAGAATGGAAAAGAGAGAGAAATAGTTGGTGAAGATGATAAAAACGCAACAGAGATGCATGATTTCGTTGTACAAATATTTTTCAAACAAAAACTATCCTAGAATTGTTCCCCAGCAAGTAAGCAGAAACATCTTACAGAGGCTATCCTTCACCCAAGTCTAGCTTCCACTGTCGTGTAAAACAAATATCCTGAACCGGGTAGAAAGGGACAGAAAAGAATACTGGGCAATAACAAGATTGACACAACAATTTTCATATATTCTCTAGTTATAATTCACAACACATATATACCAAAAGGCTCATTTTCATCTAACAAAGAAAAAAGCCCAAATCTAAAGCAAATGGTTAAATTTTAAATAACTTGGTTATTTGCTTTAGGTCTATCTAAACGTGAATAATTACCTAAGAACATCTTTAAGTCAGTCCTGCCTGCCTCCAATTAAAGACCCCTAGCTTCCAAACTGAGAATCCCAGCTCTGAGGATTCCTCTCTAAATGTCTTGTTACTCACAGGCTCCCTAGGAAGAGACAGAGGAGGGTGAGAAGTCAGATCTGAATTCCTAGTTACCAGAAAATCCTGTGTCCAGGGGATGCTCTCACTGCTCAGGACAGGAACAACCTTCAGCTGTGCTGGAGTGTTTGCAGCAGAAACAAGAAAGTTGGGTAGCTCCTTTGTCTTGACTTTTGTCCCACCTTCAGAGTGTGCTAGCCAATCACATAGGAGGTGGAGTCCAGTTTTTTTTTTTTTCTGAATTGCCTGCATTTTAAGAACAGGAAAATGAAACTAAACTAGCTTTTATTTTTTTCTCATTGATTTCACAATCGAAGGAAGTAGAAATCTCTGTAATAACAAAGGTGCATTTTAGCCTAAGGTTTAGCCAGTGTGAGGAGTTCGAGGATCAGCACACTGATAAGGTTAGAAGTTCTTCCATGACCCATTAGAATTTATTTTCTCTTGACCCCCGTGTATCAACTTGTTTTTGTATCAAATTGACACAAATCATAGTCATCTGATAGGAGGGAACCTCCAAAAAAGAAAATTTCCTTCCTAAGAGTGAGCTGTAGGCACCCTGTACAACATTGTATATATTAGTGATCGATGGGGGAGGGAGTAGCCCCTTATGGATGGTGCCTGCCTTGGGTTGGTGGTTTTGGGGACTAAAAGGAAGCAGGTAGAACAAGACATGGGGAGCAACCAGTAAGGAGTATCCATGGTCTCTTCATCAACAACTGTTTCCAATTTTGCTTCCCCGTTTATTTCAAGTCCTGGCTTCCTTTGATGGCAAACAGAGATATGGAAGTGTTAGCCAAATAAACCCTTTCCCCTCCAGCTTATCTTTTGGTCATTGTATTTCATCACAGATATAGAAACCTTAAAATAACATGGTAACAGGATCTTCCATGTTGTTTTGAGAAAGAGTGTGAAAAGACCTTGGAACTTTGGTCTAGAAATCCATTACGAGTTCAAAACTTGATGATGTTTTCTTTGGTAGCGTGGAAGATAAGAATGTTGAGAGTGAAGCAAACAGTGGAGACCTAACTTGTGAAGTTCCAGAGGGAGTTTGTGATTCACTTCAAGACCAAAGATGAGATCTGAGTATGGTGAGCTGGGACTAAAGAATTAGCTGTAATTAACAAGAACAGAGACAGTGGAGTCAGTCTTTGCTTTACTGGAACAAGAGATGCTGGTCAACTGGAGCTAAGAAATTAGCAGTGATTAAGAAGAGGCCAACACCACTTAAGCAAAGACACTTAGGAGAGGTGGTTCCTCAGAGTCGGTGCATAGGAACTGTGTTCCAGAGCCCATCAAAGTTTCATATCTTACTAGCAGCCTAACCTGGTAACGTCTAAGAGTCTCTCAGGTGGTTTGAAGGCGTGAAGGGGTCATGGAGAGCAGCTGTGGTTTATCACTGTGAGAGGCCCAGATAGGCGATTGGAGAAGAGGCAGCCTCAGTATTAGTGAAGCCCCAGGATAGAAGGGCTCATGGAGAGAAGTGGAAGCTTGGTTGGCACCGTGAAGAGAGTCCTGGTGTAGCTATTGTTGGCAGCCTCATTGTATCAAGGGACTCCATCCTTTTTGGAGATATCAGACCATGGGATGACCAGGAAGGACAGTAGCAGCAGTGGGGTGGAGCCAGTCCTATCAATGCTGCAGAGAGTGAAGCCTGAGAAGGGACCTGATCTCTTTGGAGCACAATAGAAGATTGTGAGTGGATTCTAGACATTGGATGTTGAGTTATTGTAAAGACATGAAAAATTTTAAGGAATTTTTGCTTGCTTAATAGCTAATTAAGGCACTGTGTTTAAATGCAAGGTATTAGGGCTGGTTGAAAACAGGATGTATAGCTAGGGCGCAGGGCTAACCACAAAGCTTGAGAGCACTCTCCCAAATTAGGGTGGAGATCTTGCCAAGACTAAAAGAGATTTACTCTACTGCTTACCCCCCTAAGCCCCATAGCTTCCAACCCAGAGACTGGGTTCTGATCCGGCCACATCAATATTGCAGTCTTGAGCCGCACTGGAATGGCAATTACTCTAATTTGTAGTAATTCTCATGACTTTCACCTCAATCAAAGTAGACAGATTTGCTCCCTGGCTTCACCACACCCACTTCCACCAGTTGCAGGTAGAGGAGACCAGGTAATCTTACCCAGATCTTAGCATCCCTTCGCGATTAAAATTTCACTGCAATGACAATCCTTCTACTGTCGACTTTGCTCCTGCCCTGGACACTGGTGGGGAGCCACGTGCTTTTAGAGGATGCAAATCCTCATCAGCCTATGAACCTCACTTGGACACTCTATGATGCGGCCACTGACAAGGTCTGCTACAGGACATCAAAGACAGCACCTCCAGGGACTTGGTTTCTAGATATAACTCTTGACTCTTGCAACATATATACCCAACACATACAACTGAGTGATTATGGGCCCTTATTTCTTATCTGCCCAGAATATCATATAAAGGGGAGGCTTAATGCTTGTGGGGGTTGGGGGGCCACGATTACTATATCAGACTTCGAGCTGTGACTCCACAGGGCACTTGTACTGTCACCTAGAAACTACAGGGGACTACATCAAGGTAAGCCGGGAAAAATGGCCCTATTGTGCCTGGCAAAACCCCAACACTGCTGCTATCATTGATCTCTGCATTTACCCCACTTGTAGCCCCAGCAAGATCCAATTCACCAAAGAAGGTAAAGAGGCTGCTGTCTGGAAAGGCAGCTATAGCTGGAGATGTGGATGCTCTCCAAATAAGATGGTTTGGCAAGGGGACAGACCCAGAAGTTCTTTTTGCCATCTGGCTAGATGAATCAGAACCTCAGTCCACCAGTGGCTATAGGACCAAATGCTATTATTAAGAATTTCCAGTAATCGGTGCAAAGAACCCATAGGAAGCAGATTGCCACAAACAGACAGGATAAGAAGCAGAGACCTCGCCCCCGTGCTTCCACTGACCTTCTCCCAACCTCTCAGTCCTCATTAGATATCAAAAACTCCATGTTAAAGGTCCTACAACAATCCTGTTTCTTAATTCAACCAACCCCAATGTTACTAAAGTTTGCTGGCTATGTCACGGCATATCCCCTCCCTTCCTTTAGGGGATTTCAGTTGGGGGAGCTATTCAAGCCACACAAGTAACTGCATGTCTATGGCGATCTGGGGGCAGCCTCACTCTTAGTCAAATAAAGGGCAGAGGACAATGCATAGGGTCAATCCCATGGTCTCACCAACATTTTTACAAGAAAACTGATCCTGTCCCAGGTCAGGACTCCCACAGTTATATAATTCCCCATGAGGACACTTGGTGGGCCTGCTCCACAGGCCCCATGTATCTTGCCACGGTTCTTAACCAAACAGCCGGATACTGTGTCTAGGTATGCCTATTCCGCAGACTTATATATTAGACCCATGAAGAAATGTTGGGCCAAATAGCAGGATCAGAAATGACAAGGCCTGGGCTGATGAGATGGCTCAGTGGTTAAGAGCATTGCCTGCTCTTCCAAAGGTCATGAGTTCCGGTGGCTCACAACCATCTGTAATGAGGTCTGCTGCCCTCTTCTGGTCTGCAGACATACACACAGACAGAATATTGTATACTGTATACACAATAAATAAGTAAATAAATATTTTTTTAAAAAAAGAAATGACAAGGTCCATGAGGGAAATAATAACTTCAGTGCCTCAGTGGAAACTGGGATAGCTGCTGGAATAGGCACTGTGCAGCAGCCTTAGTCTAGCAAAGCAGCCAATATTCAGCCCTGAGAATAAGTCTGGACCTAGATCTCCAAAGAGCAGAACCGTCTATTCCTTGCTTGCAAGTGTCCCTTAGCTTGCTGGCTGAGGTAGTCCTACAAATCAGAAGGGAATTAGAACTTTTATTCCTTCAACAAGGAGGTCTCTGTATGGCACTAAAAGAAGAATTTTGTTTTTTCCGAGAACACACAGGTGCAATTCAGGATAATACGAGAAAAATCAGAGAAGGATTAGCAAAGTGAAAAAAAGGAGCATGAAGCTTCCCAGGGTTGGTTTGAGTCCTGGTTTCCATCTTCCCCTTGGCTAACTACATTAGTAACTGGATTAATGGGACCCATAATAATTCTCCTGTTGCTGTTACCGTTTGGGCCCTGCATTATAAATAGATTAGTACAGTTCATGAAGCAAAGATTGGGGGCAATACAGCTGATGGCCCAACAAAACTATGTCTCCCTCAATGTAATAGAGGAAAGAGATGTTGCTCTCACGTGGCTTTAAGGAACTTTTTGCTTGCTTAGTAGCTGATGAGGGTACTGGTTTCAAATGCAAGACGTCTAGGGCGCTGGTTGTAAACAGGATGTCTAACTTAGATGCTGAGCTCAAAGTGCAGACCACAAAGTGTTCCTGGCATCCTGGCAGCGAGCCACCAGTTAATACCTAGCTCTGTGGTCTATCAGGTAGCAGAAAAGTCGACTACTTCAGGGAGGGCTTTGGGGAGAGGGTGCCTGCTAGACATAACCACTTTGGGAAGGGGGCTTATTAGAGATAAGAAACACCAGCTGTTATGTAAGACTAACTCCTTTGACCCAAAATAAATCTGGCTTGTGGTTTTTGTCTATATAATGTCAACCCCAAATGATGAGGGGGCTCTCCTCCCTACTGTGCTGTGTCGAGTAGGGGAGGAGACCCCAACTTGGCTGAATAGCACGCTGAATAAACCTTGCTTTTGCATTCTGGACTTGACTGGGTCCTGGTGGTCTCGCTGGGGATTGTGACTTGGGTTCAACAGAGACTTTGGAGCTCATTCCCAGGGTTGTCATTTAGGTGGATTTTGTTGGTGTTTTGTTGTTACTGTTGTTTTCTCGCAGACTGCGTCAGACCTTGTCTGCTCACAGTTGTTATGGACAATGAAAGCTGTTCTGACAGCAGAAGGAATGCGTGACTCCCAAAAAAACTCTCAGCCAAAATAAAAGGAGAGCTGCATTTCCCGTCACTGCCGTGAATGGGAAACTAAAAGTGCTTCTCTATGCTTCTTGGTAGTCATCAACGATGCACACACGGAATGTGGGAAGAAGTGGAAGCCATAGAGGGGAAGTTTGGGTGAGCCTCCCTGCTCCATGTAGATCCCTCACCGTCTCTTCTCCCATCTTTCCCTTTCTC